GGTCGCCGCCCTGCCGCGTCTTCCCCGCGCGCCCGCGGAGCCCCCGTCGGCCGTCGCAACGTCCCGAAGCCGGCCGCCCTGCGCCCGCGCCACCGCCCGACGGGTCACAGGACCCGGAACCTGCCGCGGCGGCAGCCGAGCGGGGCGGGGAAAGGGCCAGGGACTGGCCGGCGGGGGAGGACCCGGAGGGGAGGCCGCTTCCCTCCGCCGCCTGCGCTCTGGGCGGGCGGCCGGGCGGGAGCCGGGAACTTCCTTTCCCGGGGCGTCCCCTCCTCGCAGGGGCGCGCGGAGCCCGGCCGCCCCCTGCTGGCCCTGGGCGGTTCGAGGTGGGCCTGAAAAAGTGCGGAGGCCACGGAGCCAGCTCGCGAACGCCGGGGTCGGGCGGCGCAGGCGCGGGGGTAGTGGTCCGGGGGCGCGGCTCTGGCCGGGGGTTAAACCTCCTTCCAGCCTCTGCCCCGAGAGGGTTTAACACCTGGAGTTTCCGCCTGCGATTTCTCTCTTGCGGCCCCTTGGGAAAGGGAATGGCAGATTGACTCTGAACTTGGCAAAGGACTTATAAACTTATAACGCTTTAGTATTTAAATGAAGGAGTGGGTCTGAAGAAGACCGAGGATCTGTAAAACAATCCTATTTAAGCCTTCAGCTACCAGAGGCTGTGACATAAACCCCAGGAATTGATTGAGAAGCAATAGGTAGTTTTGAGAGCTTTTATTTAAAGAACAAAGATAGGAAGCTTTGCCTTGCTGTGTTTATAAAAGCGAGGGAAGCCCCCCACCCGTAATATTTAGAAACACCTGGAGCCGACAATGTTCTGGCAGCGTCCCTAAATAAACTAAAGAAGCTGTTCACTCTGCTATGATCTGACAATCTTTGAAAAATGTTTTTCAGAGGTGGAGGCGTCTTAAAATTTAGACATCAAGGTGGGAGTAAAACCTTTACTAAAATAGCTATTGAAAAAAGCATGGATATGTCTTTAAACAAGTTTTATGGCCTGCCAGCATATGGCTTTTATGTTCACCCAACTAGAGAGTCCTTTCAATATGTCTCCAGCTTGAGGAAAGAGGAAATCCTCTATTTATTGCCATAAGTGCAGCATATTGTTCCATACATACATATCACCATAGATTTTTACAGGTTTCTCCTTCTCTAACTCTCTTAGGTTCCCACTGACATTAGAAATAGAATTGTGGTGCTAAAACTCATAGGCGGCAAATGGCTTAAAGTTAAAAATGGTCACAGCTAAAAGCAGGAAAATGGCTCGAATCCAGTGCTTCTCAAACTTGAGTGTTAAGAGTTTGTTAAGACAAATGACTATGCCTACCCCCAGAGGGGTTCTGGTCCCCCAGAACTGGGGTGCAGTCAGCTAATTTGCATTTAAACAAGTTCCCGGGTGATGCTGACGCCTTAAGTGTAGGAGCACAGTGGTTTAGATTGGTGCATGCCTCTCAAACTTAAAAGTGCATATGAATCATCTAGGATCTTACGAAAGCAGATTCTGATTGAGTACATGTGGGGTGGGGGCCGAGATTAAGAATTTCAAATAAGTTCCCAGGTGATGTGAATGGTTTGAGTGGACCACACTTTGGTTAGCAGGATTTAGATGAGAATTTAGTCGTTAGCACACTTGCTCTGCATTTCTGAAGTTTTAGACTACATGTAATCCCCGACATTTGTATGTTGAAATCCTAACCCCCAACATAATGGTGTTAGGAGGTGGATGGAAGGTGATTTGGTCATGCAGGTAGAACTCTCATGAATGAGATCAGTGCCCTTATGAAAGGGGCTTCAGAAAGCTCTCTCCCCTTCCACCCAGTGAGGACACAGAAAGAAAACACAGGCCTGTAACCCAGGAAGTGGATTTCACCGGAAACTGAATCTGCTGACACCTTGAACTTGGACTTCTCAGATTCCAGAACTGTGAGAAATGTTTGTTGTTTAAGCCACTCACTCTAGGTTAATGTTGTAGTAATTATGATAGTAATTTGTTGTATCAGCCCAGACTAAGACATCTAGGGAGCTGGCTAGTGAGCTTACTCAGACATTCTGGCTTTATCTTTCAGAAGGAGAGCCCAAGAAGCTATATTTAAAAACAAACAAACAAAAAAAAATGAGATGACCGTGGCATGCTCTTGACTTGCAGAACTACTGACTTAAAAATAATACCAGGTAATGTAAATAAGTGCCAAATAACATCCGCTCATGCAACCCCAAACTGGAAAAGGCTGAGAGTTGGGTTGGGCAAATGGAAAAGTCTTCAGAATCCTGGGCTGGTATTTCAGTGTGGAAGCAAGTGTTTTTCATCTATCAAATGAAAAGAAAATAATACAAGTAATCTGAGACTTGTGACTGAATAAATGACTCTTTTAACATTTCCATTTGCTACACAGAGGAATGGCCTGCTTGGAAAATCCCCCAGTGATGCTCTCACACATTCATCGTACCTTTCATCCTTACTACGCTCTTTATCTGGAATATGTTCCAAACCATTACCTCATCCAAGACTCTCCCAGGTAAACTCCTCCTCATCATTCAAATGCTGGATCAGCGGATTACCTGCTCTTTTCACTCCAAATTTCCCTGGCAGATTTACACATTCGTTTATTTAGAAATGCTTTTTTTTTTTTTAATTTTTTTTTTCAACATTTATTTATTTTTGGGACAGAGAGACAGAGCATGAACGGGGGAGGGGCAGAGAGAGAGGGAGACACAGAATCGGAAACAGGCTCCAGGCTCTGAGCCATCAGCCCAGAGCCTGACGCGGGGCTCGAACTCACGGACCGCGAGATCGTGACCTGGCTGAAGTCGGATCGTGACCTGGCTGAAGTTGGACGCTTAATCGACTGTGCCACCCAGGCGCCCTAGAAATGCTTTTTATATAGAAAGCTAATGATCGTGCCAAGAAATGTTCTAGATACTCCAAGTACAACAGTGAGTAGAATGGACAAGATTCTTACTCTCAAGGACTTTATACTGTAGTGGAAACTAGGTAGAATATTAAAAAGCAATCAAATGAGATAATTTCAGATAGATGCAGATTTTACAAAGAAAACTAGAGAAAAATGCCATGTAGTGAGTGATCATTGAATGAAGAATAAAACCTACACTAATCAGCAGGACTGTTCTAAAGGAAATATTGAAAGTAGATATCAAGTGTCATTTGTTTCCCCCACACAAATAACCAACTGATGCAGAAATATTCACCTCCTTGGTCTTAATTCAAGTGCTCCTATGAGAATGGGTCTGTTCTGGGTTCCCGGGTGGCTCAGTGGGTTAAGCATCTGACTCTTGGTTTGGGTTCATCTCATGATCTCACAGTTCATGAGTTCTAGCCCCACGTGTGGCTCTGTGCTGACAGCACGGAGCCTGCTTGGGATCCTCTCTCTCCCTCTCACTCCCTGCCCTTCCTCTGCCCTCTCTCTCTCTCAAAATAAATAAATAAACATTAAAAAGAAAAGAAAGAAAAAGTCTGTTTTCACTCTCTCCTTCCATCAGTCTATGTGTCTATACTTGGACCCATTCTTACGTGTGTTAACTATTATAGCTTTATTATAAATCTTTTCAGGCAAGTCAAATCCTCTCATTTTGTAATTCTTTTTCAAGTTTGCTATAGCCATTCTTGTTCCTTTACATTTCCAGATAAATCTTAGCATTGACATCTCAGTTTTCACAAACACACCTGCTGAGACTTTTATTGGAATTACATTGAATTCATAGATTAATTTGAGAAGAATTGAAAATACTCAGTCTTCAAAAATATTGATGTGGTATATCTAGCATTAATGTATGTCTTAATATCTTACAATAATATGTCAAGTTCTTGAATTGTTTATAGTTGGTTTATAACAATGAAAATAAAACATTTGTGGAGAATGAATTTAGCTTCAATGACTATGATAATTCTAAAAATTAACTTACAGAGTTGGCATTTTTTTAATGTATAGAAACATATTGTTTTTTTCTGACTTTCCAACTCTTATATATTTTATTCCTTTTTCATATTTCAATTCACAGGCTAGGGCTTCCAATATGATTTTGAATAAAAATGGAGATAGTAGGCAACCCAGTTTTTGAGAGAAAGTTTTCAGCATATCCCCATTAATTTAGTTTAATGGGCTTTTTGTTTTAGAATAGTATTAGATTTACGAAAAAGTTCAAAGATAGTACAGAGAGTTCCTATATACCTCATATCTGGTTTCCCTTGTTGCAAATATCTTATATTAGTTATGGTACGCTTGTCACAATTAATGAACCAACATTTATACAATTAATAAAGTCCCTGCTTTATTCAGATGTCCTAGTTTTGACCTAATGCCCTTTTTCTGTTCTGGGATCCCAGCCAGGGTACCACATTGCACTTAGCCTTCTTCAGCTTTGACAGTTTCTCAGACTTTCCATGTTTCTAATGGCCTCGATTGACAATTTTGAGGAGTCCTGGCTAGGTATTTTGTAGACTGTGCCTCAGTTGGGCTTCTCTGACATGTTCCTCATGATACCAGTTATGGGTCTGGGGAGGAAGACCACAGAGAAGTGCCACTCTCATGTCACGTCAAGGGTATATACAATCAACATGTCAACGCTGTCGATGTTGACCTAGACCACTTGGCTGAGGTAACATGTCAAATTTCTCCACTCTAAAGCTGTTTGTTCCCCACCCCCTCCCTTTCCGTAGTGTTCTTTTTGGAATGAAATCACTGTGAACAGCCAGCACTTAGGGAGTGGGGAGTTGCGTGCCACAGCCTTTAGGGTACAATCGCTACATAAATCCTTTGGAATTCTTCCACATTGTAGATTTGTCTCTTCTCTCTCATTTATTTATTCAGTCATTTCTTTTTTTTTTTTAACGTTTATTTATTTTTGAGACAGAGACAGAGCGCGAGTGGGAGAGGAACAGAGAGAGAGGGAGACAGAATCTGAAACAGGTTCTGGGCTCTGAGCTGTCAGCACAAAGCCCGATGCTGGGCTCGAACCCACGAACCATGAGATCATGACCTGAGCCGAAGTCAGATGCTCAACCGACTGAGCCGCCCAGGTGCCCTTATTCAATTATTTCTTTATATCAGTTTATCTGGATTGGTATTAGGATAATTCTGAATTTATAGGAAGGGATAGGAAGTGTTTCTTCTACTGCTATTTTCTGTAAAAGATTGTGAAGACCTTGCATTATTTTTTCTTTAAACATTTAGTGGAATTCACCAGTGAAATTACATAGGTCTGGTGCTCTATTTTTTGGAAGTTTATGAACTATTGATTCAATTTCTTTAATAGATAGACAGATATTCAGGTTATCCAATTATCCCTGTGAGGGTTGGTATAAGGAAATGGTCCATTTCATTTAAACTATCAAATTTGTAGCCATAAAGTTGTTTATAGTATTCTTTTCTTATTCTTTTCACGGGCTCTGTAGTGATAGTGATGACTCCTTTTTCATTTTGCATATTAGCCATTTGTCTACTTTTTCCTTGGTTAATGAGGCTCTGTGTATGGATTTTGTTGTTTGTTCATTTAAGAAAACAACTTGGTTTTATTAACTTTTCTCCTTTGATTTCATTGTTTTCCGCTATAATTTTTATTATTAAGTTTTTCTATTTACCTTAGGCTTCATTTACTTTACCTAGCTTGCTGAGGTAGAAGATTAGGTGTTTTTTTTTTTTATTATTATTTTTTTATTTTTTTAATATATGAAATTTATTCTCAAATTGGTTTCCATACAACACCCAGTGCTCATCCCAAAAGGTGCCCTCCTCAATACCCATCACCCACCCTCCCCTCCCTCCCACCCGCCATCAACCCTCAGTTTATTCTCAGTCTTTAAGAGTCTCTTATGCTTTGGCTCTCTCCCACTCTAACCTCTTTTTTTTTTTTTCCCCTGCCCTCCCCCATGGGTTTCTGTTAAGTTTCTCAGGATCCACATCAGAGTGAACACATATGGTATGTGTCTTTCTCTGTATGACTTATTTCACTTAGCATAACACTCTCCAGTTCCATCCACGTTGCTACAAAGGGCCATATTTCATTCTTTCTCATTGCCATGTAGTATTCCCTTGTGTATATAAACCACAATTTCTTTATCCATTCATCAGTTGATGGACATTTAGACTCTTTCCATAGTTTGGCTATTGTTGAGAGTGCTGCTATAAACATTGGGGTACAAGTCCCCCTCTGCATCAGTACTCCTGTAACCCTTGGGTAAATTCCTAGCAGTGCTACGGCTGGGTCATAGGGTAGATCTATGTTTAATTTTTTTGAGGAACCTCCACACTGTTTTCCAAAGCGGCTGTACCAGTTTGCATTTCCACCAACAGTGCAAGAGGGTTCCCATTTCTCCACATCCTCGCCAGCATCTATAGTCCCCTGATTTGTTCATTTTGGCCACTCTGATTGGCGTGAGGTGATATCTGAGTGTGGTTTTGATTTGTATTTCCCTGATGAGGAGTGACATTGAGCATCTTTTCATGTGCCTGTTGGCCATCGGGATGTCTTCTCTAGAGAAGTGTCTATTCATGTTTTCTGCCCATTTCTTCACTGGATTATTTGTTTTTTGGGTGTGGAGTTTGGTGACCTCTTTATAGATTTTGGATGCTAGCCCTTTGTCCGATATGTCATTTGCAAATATCTTTTCCCATTCTGTTGGTTGCCTTTTAGTTTTGTTGATTGTTTCCTTTGCTGTGCAGAAGCTTTTTAAGAAGATTAGGTTTTAGAACTTTCTTCTTTTCAAACATGAATTTAGTGCTATACATTTACTTCTAAGCCCACCTTTCATTGCATTCCATAGTTTGATAAACTGGAGTTTCTTTAATTTAGTTCAAAGTAAATTTTAAGTTTATCTTGATACTCCTTTGACCCATATATTATTAGGAATTATGTCAATTTCCAAATATTTTGGGATTTCCCAGCTATCTTTATGTCACTGTTTTCTAGTTTAATCCTACTGTACTCCAAGGACATAACTGAGTGATTTCTATTCAGTACGGCAGCCACTGGCCACATGTAGCAACTTAAATTTCAATTAATTAAAGTTAAGGTTTGAAAGTATTCCCTCAGTCACTAGCTATACTTCCAGGGCTCAACAGCCATGTGTGTTTAATGGCATGGTAACGGTTTGACGTAGATAAAGATCATTTCTATCACTGCAGCAATTCCCCCGCTTTTACAGAGATAAAGTGAACATATAACATTGTGGCATCTGAGCCTCCAGTTAAAACAAAAATAGGCAAAAAAAAAAAAAAACATATAACATTGTGTAGGTTTAAGATATATGGCGTGCTGAGCTGATAAACTTATATATTGAAAAAGGATTACTTCTGTAGCATTAGGAAACATCTCCATCACTTCACATAATTACCATTTCTTTTTCTGTGGTGAGAACATTTAGGATTTACTCTCTTAGCAACTTGCAAGTATATAATACAGAATTGTTAATGATAGTCATCATGCTGTACATTACATCCCCAGGACTTATTCTTCTTATAGCTGGGAGTTTATACCTTTTGAGTTTATACCTTTATACTCC